CACGTGACTATTTCTGTGACGGACGCGCAGGGACGTCTTGTTTGTCTGACTGCTCCCTGTGACTGAGGGAGAGCCAGCGTTGCGTCCTCTCAAGGCGTTAGCTTAGGCCTACGTGACATATTTTCCGCCTAACTAATAACTCCTTGGGACACCCGTAACATTATTCAGACTGATAAACGATCTATAATAATTTCAAATTCAATAATAGTCCCTTAACTTCATGAATCGCATCATCATTATTAATTCGGCAAATTACATTTAATATCACTTAGGCCTAGTTCCATAACCTCTCTCTATGGGCGGGGAGCGCTCTCTTCCCTCAGACGACCTTGAACGCTCAGTATCGCTAATGGCGGGGCATTGGAAATTTCTGAATATTACATATATATATATATATATATATATATATATATATATATATATATATATATATATATATATATATATATATATATATATATATATATATATATATATATATATATATATACTGCTAAACAAAATCGTTACATCTACTTAAAATTTTTTGGGTATCACATCACGTCACATCAACCATTAAAGCTTTTCAACCTTTTTTTCCCACTTCCGAGGTGGGCCAGGGGCGGTAAACGTGACAGTGTACAATATATTGACTAAAAATACCGTATAGTCAAGAAATGACAAAATGACGCAAATATGGGAGGGGCTGCAGTTATAAAAGGCTCTGGTCGGTCTGAGAAAGCATCAGTCACCTTCACAGTTCACTGCCGTCATGACTACCAAGGTGGATATAGTTCATCTCCACACTGACAAGAGTTTGAAAGTTTATAATGAGATGTGAATAGAATGCAATAAATTATATACTAGGTCATGAAATACTTGCAAAAGATATCATTATCAGTGAAAGTTTAGTATAGTTAACATTAATGTTTTATGACAAGTGTTGTGCTCTTGCCCTGTAGGTAATGTTTTTGGCCGCCCTTGTGGCTGCAGCCCTCGCCAAACCTGACCCACAGTACAGCCCCCCCACTCCCGCATACAACCCCCCCGCCCCCTCCTACAGCGCTCCCGCCCATCCAAGACCTTCCTACTCTGCTGCTCCAGTTTATCCTGATGTAAGTCGGTGCTTCCAGACGTATCACGTTAGGGTAACTGTTGACAGATGACATGTGTGGTTACGTAGCTGTTGCAGTATAATGAATATATCCAAATGAAAGTGAAGTTATATTAAAAGAGCATTCTTTTCATTAAATATGATAAAAAAAAAATATGTGCAAGATATAGAATGTTCCAACTACATTATTGGGACAAGTGTTGGTACCAAATATAATCAGGTCATGCAATAATAATGCATTAACTGTTTTGACCACAGACTCCTCCCCAGTACAACTCTCAATACGTCGTGAGGGACGACTACTCCGGCAACGACTTCGGCCATGAAGAATCCCGGGACGGCTACAACACCCAGGGTACCTACTTCGTGCTGCTTCCCGACGGTCGTGTGCAGAGGGTGACTTACTACGTCGACGGTGACTCCGGCTACGTGGCTGAGGTGACCTACGAGGGTGAGGCACAGTACCCCGCCTATCAACCCGCCCCAGCGCCTTCGTACAGGCCCGCTCCGGCACCCTCCTATGCTTAAACCAATAGCTTGGCCCTTCGAGAATGTAGTGAAGCCATTATTTACTGAACGATAAGAAATAAACATTTTACTGAATATAGCCATATGTTTTCCCTGTGGTTCTTTTTAGAATATTCGTGAGTGATATTGATTCCAATTTCATAAGATTTAGAATTCATTTAATATAGTGTCAAGTGATCAAACCTGTGTACAATGTGATGTTAATACTGTAACAGTTTAATATCTCTCTTTTTCTTATGTAAGTTGACTGATTCCATCTTTGGTACACAAGACTTTTCTCTCTTTCATGTTGCGTATTTTTCTATATACAGTATTCTCCAGTTCTTTCAGTCTCTGTTTTTGGTATAACAAATCTACAGTGTTTGCACTGTCTCTTTATCTATTTTTACTGTCCTTGGTTCTGTCTTTATCAGTCTCTTTCAATTTTTTTTATCCTTGTTTTCTTTATAATTCAGCTCCTCTCTCTCTCTCTCTCTCAGACTCACTTTTCCAAGACAAGAAAAAATGCATTATGATTTACAATGACTTTATTATATGAACACATATAACGAAGAGAGAAAAGATTTTTTGGACATCCTTCAAGACACTCAAGCAAGAAGGTCACCCAGTTATCTTACAAACTTATAAGCAGCATAAGTTACCAATTTATGCCTTATATGTGGGTAAAGTATCAGTCTTTCACGACTAATCTAAAACTTTCACATTTTTGGTCTTTAGCTGATCTTTGTACAGTCTTCTACACTCACTGACTCACGTGTAGATTTTTTTTGATATTTCACATCAACTTCTCATCACCTATGTCATCCTGTGATCTGTCAAGTAATGGCAGTGGTAACTTTCATGTCAGTTGAGGTGAGTTGGCAATTCTCTGGCTTTTAAAGAAGATATAAAGCGAAGATTCCTCCTTTTATAGTAATTTTGAATTCCTCGAATCTCTAAGGGAGAGTATGGTGGACATTTTAGTATGTAAAACCATTCACGGAAACTCAAATTTTTAGTGTAATGCAAAATATTAAGGATAATTTACATCTTATGGAAGGCGGCAGTCGAGTGAATACAGCTCTCGCCTCCTGTTCCAGAGGTCGGTGGTTCAATTCCTGTACGCTCCCAGTTCACCCAGCTGTAAATGGGTACCTAAGTTTATAACAGTGTGCTGTATACTGCCCTAACTGGCAGTCATGTTTGTGGGACCGACTTTTTTTTCACTTTCACTCAAAATGCATTTTTTTAAGAATAACCCTGATAAATTTGGTAAACCCATGGAATGTAAGATATTTTATTAACTAATTTACATGCTGTTAAAAATTCCTAAGTATAAGTCATAGATCTACTACTATTACTAATATATCATCTGAAGTGTCGGAGCTTACACGATAATGTGATACACCGTTCACTGACTATGGGCAGCGCCAGAAATATTCCTCCATCAAAGATCACTAATGAAAATTTTCTTCCCTGTGTATCATTTAAGTAAAATGTTAAGTGTATAGACCGACTCAGTGGTTCTCCAACTTTTCGAGTGCGACCTAATTTTTAATATCTCGGAACTTCGCGACCCTTTGATTCAAATACAAAAGCAATAACTGTAAAATCAAATTTATTGTTACATCAACTAGGAATTTAATAGAAAGCACAACTAGCGTTAAACGGAGCAGTTGAAGGCTCCCATTCTGTGCCGGTGACCTTGAGAGTTTATTAAAAAAAACAGACAAAAAACGTTAACTTTGCTGGGTCATCACGGCCCACTGAAAATCGGCTCGCGACCCACCTTTGGGTCGTGACCTGTGATTTGACAGCCAATAGAGAGTGATTGGTTTTTAATATAAATTTTAAGTTTTGAAAAAAAAAAAAATCCATATAATTACGTAGAATGAATGTGGGAAAGTAATGGCCCTTAACCCCTTTGAAATAAACTCTAAATGTTCTAACGTGGCAAGATGGTAATATAGTTTATTAGATGTTACTACTTCCTCGGTCTACCTCCCTGGATTCAATGGTCATACTGATATCCCCGAGTCACTGCTTGTTACCTAGCAACAGTTGTTTTTGGGTGGCAAGTCAGCTTCCATACAAGGCTCAGATTAACTCCTATTAAGTTAAACCTTGAAATGTATTTACATTACCTGACCCAAACTCTGTTATCAATACATTATTGACATCAACAAGATACTTCTATGTTTCTTATTACCGAGGCTTTTCTCCTGCCGGATACCTGCACTGTGTCGTGTTCAAATAAATGGCAAGTTGGACTGCCTTTCACATTTCACTTTCTACTGCAGTAAACTCTTGGCAGTTACAGAGTTCTTCTGGGGTTCTTATTACATATTTACCCAGTTCACTTCGCCACAAAGGATCTTCTTGTAATTCCTCTGGATTTTGTCAGTGAAATGTCCGCCATTTATATTTTACCCATCCCGTGTTTTATCAAGTGGTTTTATCGTAGTTAATGAAAAGTTCTTAGTCGCCCTTGTTTGTTTGTTTACCGACAAGATTTTACTTGATCCTTTAGGTTTCTTATTTTCTGAAGTAGGTGAAGAAAAAAGACTTTTCAGATGACTTGAAAAAAAATATTTATCTGTTGTTCATCAGAACTTTCATTTGTATTAATATTTCTGTAATTACCACAGTGCTAATTTACTCATTATGCCTTTCTCAACAAAATTATCATTTTTTTCTCCCTCTTGTCATTATCACAAAATATCATCTGGTAACCTTCATCATCACATGCTTATTACTTTCTAAGAATAGTAAAGCTGCCCTGTTCCCTAGACTGGCTACGTCATATGACAACAGTCTCATCAACAGTTCATTCTCATAGCACCATGGCTCCCAAGGTTAATAGATCTCTCGTCTGCAATTCTTTGATGGAGATAATTTGTACTAAGAGATTTATGTACTGTTCAGTGATATAGTGTAGACTATCATTTTCATATTTTTTTATGTCAAGAATTATTTACAGACGAGACAGTTGAGACTGATATATTATAACAAGTGTTGTGGTCTCGTCCTGTAGGTTGTTTTGTTGGCCGCCCTTGTGGCTGCAGCCCTCGCCAGGCCTGATCCACAGTACAACCCCCCCACTCCCGAATACAGCGCCCCTGCTCACCCTAGACCTTCCTACTCTGCTGCTCCCGCTTATCGTGACGTAAGTTGGTATTGCGAGAAGCATCTTGTATGCTGTTAATAAGTGTGCCCATAAGACAAAGAGAAATAAAATTGCCTTGTTTCCTAATATTACTTAAATTTTCAATAATAAAAAGGAAGAAAAACAGGATATTAATGTGCGGTATTTCAGCAATACCTGCAAGAGGAATATTCACGAACAAATAAAAAACTAGTCTGCTTCAGAAATTTACTTTCAAGAAACGATATAAAAAACATGAATGCGGGATACAATGAACATCACAACAGTCATGGGAACAAGTATTGACCTAAATGTATTGATGATTTATAATAATAATATATTGACTGTCTTGGTCACAGACTCCTCCCCAATACAACTCCCAGTACGCCGTCAGAGACGACTACTCCGGCAACGACTACGGCCATGAAGAATCCCGTGACGGCTACAGCACCCAGGGTACCTACTCCGTGCTGCTTCCCGACGGTCGTGTGCAGAGGGTAACTTACTACGTCGACGGGGACTCCGGCTACGTGGCTGAGGTGACCTACGAGGGTGAGGCCCAGTACCCATCCTACCAGCCTGCCCCAGCACCCTCTTACAGGCCCGCTCCTTCGCCCTCCTACACGCCAGCACCCAGCTATGCCTAAGTTGAATTCAAGATCTACAATGCATTGCTTATTGACCATTGTATTTACAAACCATCGAGAATGTATTTATTGAACAACCATTAATAAACGTTATACACTATTTATCATCTACATTCTTTCTAAACCTTTTTTGCGGTTGGTGACTTCGAGTTTATTCAGAGTAATGAACTACGCAAATAAAATGATTGTGTTGAGAGTTTAAGAGGATTTACCCTAAAGTGATAGAAATTAACGTTCTTACACAAGAGACATTTTCTAAGGTAATATAACTTTGGATGGATTTTCAAGTCTTTCTATATATATATATATATATATATATATATATATATATATATATATATATATATATATATATATATATATATATATATATATATATATATATATATATATATATATATATATATATATATATATATATATATATATATATATATATATATATATATATATATATAATGCATGATACAGTGTATTTATAATCGAATCTGCATGTGTACTTGTGGTGCCATTGACACTCTAGATTCTAGAGGCTGCCTCCCAGCCGCACGTCCTGTTGGAGGGGAAATTCAAACCATTGTTGATGTTTTAAATCTGTTTCTCTAGAAACTCTCTTGCGCAACTCACATAACTATTTGTACACTTCCTGCCGACCATTCTGACACACTCATATGAAACATTTTAATTAGGATATTGTAGTTTATATCTTTCTCTCTCTTTTCGTACTCCCACTGGACTTAGTTTCATATGCAACATTATTTTTTGTCCATCGAACTGAGACACGAGGATAAGACACATACTGTACAGTATACTATATTGAAACTCCAAACTGGTAAATAAAACAGAAACAAACAGACACTTGTATGGTAAAAACTGATGCAAATAGAGGAAAATAAAATGAATGTATAAGACCTCAAACCTAATACAAGATAATGATTTAAGAACACAGGAACTATTTGCATCAGAGGAGATTAACCAACGCTAGATAACTATCGTGTCTAGTTTCTCCGAGGTGTAAGGGACTAACCATTTAACGACGTCATACAATGTTTGATAGATTACACCACTTTCCTTCCCTTCCAACCCCCCCCTCCCTCTTCTCACCTGTTATCACCTTGAGTTAACCCTTCCGCCCTCCTCTCGCGTGATACCTAACATGGCGACGAGGGTTCAAGGTTAGTGTTAAATAATTTAATGATAAAATAATACTCAGTACTTTCTCTTGAATTTATCTGATTATTTAACAAGACCTTCACATGGAACTAACAAACTGACATATAATCATAATTTGAAGTTAAGGAAATTAAACACTAATTTGTAATGATGAGTTTAGAGCTTAAATGCTATATGCTTTTAATATACACAAACAATGTCTTTAGGCAGAGAAATTTATTGTTTTTATTGATAATTTTCAAGTTAGGATACAACTAACATTAGGAAATATTAATTGCTAATATGAAGTTTAATAAAGTGAGTTAGTTTACGTTTCAGCTAGTTGTGTGTACCAAAATAGTCAAAATTATGCATATGTATTTCATAAAGTTTATGTACTATATATTAATATATAAAAATAATTAAATTAGTATGTATTAGTTTTCCCTTCTAAAAAGTATTTGACAAGAATTATAACTTCTTGACACTTTACAACACCTCCCTTACAATGACGTCACGAATGAGTATTAAAGGCGTGGCGGACGAGAAACAGTAATTCTGGGTGCTGTATTTCTCAGACATATAGACATAAGATAACTCCATGACCATAGTGTCAATACCACATAGTTTCTGAATTAAAACACATGACAGCTGGGGTTGGATTGTGATAAAATCTACGAAGTATAAATGAAATATCCAGTGTTGCATTCTGTTATGCATTTTACCGTAAATGATCAAAGTTCAGGGCCCTCTTCCTAAATGATACCAGTTACTTTAAATAGGGTTTGATATTTCATATTATATTTCCATAGACTTGTTGCAGTCCTCCCCCTACGCACTTTATGGTTTAACTTCGAAACTATGGGGTATTGACACTATGGTCATGGGGTCATTCATACTTATGTATGTCTCAGAAATACACCCCCCAAATTAAGAAACGAATTTCCAAATACCATGTATAATATATATATATATATATATATATATATATATATATATATATATATATATATATATATATATATAAATATGTAACCGGTCGGAATTTACTGGACTCTAATTTCTCACTTGACTTGGGGTTTATTACAAATTAATAGATGGTAATGGCAGTGGAAGCGCCCCTTTGAGAAAAAATCCCGAACCAGCACAAGAACACTTAAATCTACTAAACAAAATGAATTGTCCGTGACCCGTGGAAGGATAGCGTCTGTGACTGGGATGGATGAGACACACTGTAAAATTTAGACACTTATATTCCTTCCAACACTACAAACACAATCAAATAATGGTACACCAATATGCCCACCTCTTAACCTGAACTTAAAACACTACTCTGGGGAATAAAAGTTATACATGATATAGAAAATATTAGAAACTCAGGCAACAATAAATTTGAAGTAGTAAGAAATGTTGCTTGCACACATGAAACAGGCCTTAAGGGCTTTCACAAAATAATATCAGTCACTTAGGAAATGGTATTAAAAAATAAGAAATTAAATACTCTACAATGAGTAGGCCTTAAGGGCTATCAACAAAATAATATCAGTCACTGAGGAAATGGTAATAAAAAAATAGAACTTAAAATACACTACAATGAATAGGCCTTAAGGGCACTCAACAAAATTATATCACCCCAACAGATGCACACTTCCTAACCTAACTTAAACACTACTCTGGGGAACAAAGGTTATACCTGAGATCAGAATTATGAAGAAAAATTAGATGCATTAAAAGAATCAAATCACAGTATCACTCTGGTTCCACTTAATGACACAAACATTCAAAAAAACAATACTATCAAAATTATTTAAGAAATTTTAAACTACACACGTCAAGATAATATCAGTAACTGAGAAATGGTATTAACTACACCCAAATATATTCACTATTATTAATATGTTACTGGGTCCACCAATACTCGTGAACCATGCTCCACCCAACTCAACATACACCCGTAATAAGGGAGATAAAATGTTCCTCTAGGTATCTCCTAGAGTCCTAGACTCATGGTCTCAGTGTGTGACCATTAATTTACTCAGATAGCCTCAGTGTACTCCCAGTGCGTCCATAAAGCGGAAGGGAGTGAGCCAATCAGACCTTGTACAGTTGAGAGAAGCTTTAGCTTCCCGTTAGCAAGAGGGTTTCACTAAGCTGCTCGAGACATGTGGGGTTGTGAGCCGAGGTAGAGGAGAGCTGCTGACCCAACGATCGTCCCGTCGTCAGCTGGGCACCCAGACGGCTAGAATCCCTCAAGAGATCCTTTGATACCCCGCTAAACAGTGACAGGCCTCCACTGATCGGTCCAATGGCGACAATCGCCACCCTCAATCATCAACGGCGGTCTCAAACGGCAGTCAATCTCTCGCAGTCAAACTCCGGTCAACTCCTGTCAAGTGGGTTCTGACGGAAACCCTGAAATGAACTCACTGTTAGCTCTAGTTTACTTTATCACTGCTCTATCTAAACCCTGTCTGAGATTGAATGAGACTTACTTGTTATACTGCAATAGCGCAGCACAGGTGACTAGGCCACGTGACTATTTCTGTGACGGACGGGCAGGGGCGTCTTGTTTGTCTGACTGCTCCCCGTGACTGAGGGAGAGCCAGCGTCGCGTCCTCTCAAGGCGTTAGCTTAGGCCTACGTGACATATTTTCCGCCTAACTAATAACTCCTTGGGACAACCGTAACAATATTCAGACTGATAAACGATCTATAATAATTTCAAATTCAATAATAGTCCCTTAACTTCATGAATCGCATCATCATTATTAATTCGACAAATTACATTTAATATCACTTAGGCCTAGTTCCATAACCTCTTGCTATGGGCGGGGAGCGCTCTCTTCCCTCAGACGACATTGAACGCTCAGTATCGCTAATGGCGGGGCATTTGAAATTTCTGAATATTACATATATATATATATATATATATATATATATATATATATATATATATATATATATATATATATATATATATATATATATATATATTTACTGCTAAACAAAATCGTTACATCTACTTAAAATTTTTTGGGTATCACATCACGTCACATCAACCATTAAAGCTTTTCAACCTTTTTTTCCCACTTCCGAGGTGGGCCAGGGGCGGTAAACGTGACAGTGTACAATATATTGACTAAAAATACCGTATAGTCAAGAAATGACAAAATGACGCAAATATGGGAAGGGCTGCAGGTATAAAAGGCTCTGGTCGGTCTGAGAAAGCATCAGTCACCTTCACAGTTCACTGCCGTCATGACTACCAAGGTGGATAGAGTTCTTCTCCACACTGACAAGAGTTTGAAAGTTTATAATGAGATTTGAATAGAATGCAATAAATTATATACTAGGTCATGAAATACTTGCAAAAGATATCATTATCAGTGAAAGTTTAGTATAGTTAACATTAATGTTTTATGACAAGTGTTGTGCTCTTGCCCTGTAGGTAATGTTATTGGCCGCCCTTGTGGCTGCAGCCCTCGCCAAACCTGACCCACAGTACAGCCCCCCCACTCCCGCATACAACCCCCCCGCCCCCTCCTACAGCGCTCCCGCCCATCCTAGACCTTCCTACTCTGCTGCTCCAGTTTATCCTGATGTAAGTCGGTGCTTCCAGACGTATCATGTTAGGGTAACTGTTGACAGATGACATGTGTGGTTACGTAGCTGTTGCAGTATAATGAATATATCCAAATGAAAGTGAAGTTATATTAAAAGAGCATTCTTTTCATTAAATATGATAAAAAAATATATGTGCAAGATATAGAATGTTCCAACTACATTATTGGGACAAGTGTTGGTACCAAATATAATCAGGTCATGCAATAATAATGCATTAACTGTTT